CTGTTATTACACACGCAGAAACGCAGAACGTATGATTTATAATGAAGTCTAGGTACTATTTTGTGAAAATAGTTATATATATTTTCTTTCTGTAATGTACGAGTGTACCCAGAATAATGAAATCGGTGTCAACTTCGAAAAAATTATAGAAACAATATAAATATGATTCCAATAATAATATTTAAAAAAATAAGTATTAAACATATTTAAGGTATGTGGTTAACTATAAGCTAAAAATGCGAAGTCGAGATTTTTTGGTGGGAGGGTGAGGGGCGTCAAATATTGTTGCTCTAGGCCCTAGGGCGTTATTGGTGGTTAGAGCAGCACTGTGGTTATGTAAATATTTTAAATTATTTATTAATAATTAATATTGTAATATTTCAATAACTTGTTTGTGTAGTTTTTTACTCTAAAAGGAGTCGTGAACTCGTGAAGATAATAATATTAATATTTATTGTCATATTTTGTCAACCGACCTCGGAAACCACCACACGGACTTTAGCTAGATATAACTACTAATTTAATCGTGGTCTAAAAATAAAGGTATACATGTAATAATATAATATATTATGATAAATTATATCGGCGATAACATTATAATATATTTTAAAGTATTAGATTCTCTCGCGATTTAAGATGGTTATTAATTATATTCTATGCGTGATTCTTTTAAATCTTGGAGAGCGACGTACACGCTACACACATAAGACCGTTGGCCGCACTGATGCCGGGCCAAGCTAGCAGTGCTTAGTTCGGCACTTCGACGATTCCGATTTCCGAGTGTTGTCGTCGTTGTCGCACTGTCAGCTGTTCGTTCGTTATCGTCGACTGATGTGACGGTCGACGGGGGTGGGTAAGGGGCAAAGGGTTAACAATTATCTTTTAGAGAAAACTGAAAATATTATTTATTATTAATATTATTACGAAAAATATATATCTGTACGTGTCGCTGCCGATCTCGTTCGTGGTGTTTGTACTCGTTGCTGTTTCACTTGTTTGCAAGTAGTTTGCTGGTTGAGAGTAGAGAAATGTCGGACGACCATGGCCGTCACCACCGCTTCTGCAATAATTTTTATTGGTAGTAGTCGAGCCTCCTAGCTATGGCCGCATCAGACTCAAAAAGCTCGACGCCGCCGCCCCCGCTGTCGATGGTCGACGAGGATATGAAAGGATGGCTGTTCAAGTGGACAAATTACATTAAAGGTTACCAGAAACGGTGGTTCGTCCTGTCCAACGGTGTACTATCCTACTACAGGTAAATTTCACAAACTACGTATGTTACGATTGTAGCTGTGTGCCCTTCAGTATGGTATATCACAATGATCGGATTGATCACCAGCGTTTCATGGTAGACACGTTATACCTAGACTGATATTTCTGATTATCTTTTCGCTTTTAGTTTGGTACCTAGGTATCTTTTTTATGTCTTTGAAGATGCTCAGTACTTTGGCCCTTCATTATTTCATTATGGCTTGTAATTTTATCACAAAAGTCACTATCAGTTTGCCTTTCTTTGATCAGTTTACAGTTGTATTGTATTCAGTTACATTCAAATTTCACACAACCGTATGTTCCTACGTGGCTTTGTACATGGGTACTCCCCTGCAATTTAAATTACTACAAATTAAAATGTTCATACCTCTTTCGTTATTTAAGAGTTTAAGACTTTTCAACCCTTGGCCCTAATTTAATTTATCTTAATAGGTAGTTTTTTTAATTTAATTCAAAGATCTTGAGAAAGAGAATTACAATAACTACCTTACATGTACCTATCAATATATTTGTTGAAGTAGGGTACCTAAATTGATCTAGACAATGGCATGTAATATGTAAAATTTAGGTACCTACCTAAGTAAATTATACACATATACAATAAGTAGAGGTCTGTCCTAACCTAATCAGTTCAAAATTAATGACTCAAAATATATCTTAACAATCCAAAACATATTTAAAGTTTTAATAACTGTTATAAATAAGATTAACAAATTACTTCGTATTGTAATTGTATTCAACATTAAGTTTAGTTCAATTACAACTTTTGTAGGAATTAATAGCTAAATACTAGATTTATTATTAAAAAATAGCCAACAATTAATATTGACCTACTTATTTAATTATTAAATTATTTGGTAGGTATGTACAAAATCTTGTAGAAATAAAAATACAATTGAATAATAACATTTTATAAACAAATATTTTAGTTGAATCATTAAACTTAAATGTACCTATAGAGTATAGGCTATAGGCAATGAACTAATATCTTATAAATTATAAAACATCTAAGGTTTGTCACCTTGTTATTTAATAAGTTACAAATCATCATTCAATCATTTAAAGTACCTAGGTGTTTTGTTTTATTACAATATTTGTTACAATACCATTGGATGTCAAATGTAATTTTCATATCTTATACATTTAATATTGCACATACAATTCCAAGTGGCATAATTTACAACTAATATATTATACACAAGTTCATGCCAATTGATAAAATAACTACCTATATTTTATTCTAGCAGAGTCCATGTTTATGATATGTCATATGTAGGACATAGGTATATTACGTACCTACTTAGCAAACATTGGTAGTAATAAAAACGTAATAAAACTTACATTTTATAAATCATTGTATAATAGATAGATACACCATATAGATAACATTTTTATGATAGGCTATTTATAACCTATATCCATTCAAAAAAAAAAATTTTTTTTTTATATTTATCTATATATTTTTGACTGGTTGGAAATTTACAGGAATTGGGTTGGTACCTTATTTATATACTTTTGTTAAGTAAAAACAATTATTTCATTTCAAAGCATTGTTATGAATGAATAATTATTAGGTAGGTAAATGTTTAAAATACAATAGGTATGAATTGTATGATATTAGAATAACGTGTTCCTGCAGTACCTATTATAGTTCCTTTTATGCAGGAATATGTTCAATTCCTCGTTTATAATATTAAAATAAGTAAATATAGTGTATATAGTAAACAGTTTTTATAATTGCAGTTCTTCTATAGTTAACACATTACACATTCAAAGAAGCAGACAACCTTGGCGCATAATGTGTTAAATTCAAAATATAGGTAGATACCTACTATAATTATAGGTATAGTGCCAAACATTAAAAAAAATATTTAAACCTGTAAATATTTACGTAAGGAAAATATGTCATAATTTTAAATCAAATAACCATATTTGGAACAAATAAATTAAGAAATATAATAGGTATCTGCTTTAAAAAATGTAGCTAATATCTAACAGTTTCAGAAACTTAGAGTAGAGTATCAACCATTAATACCAAATACATATAGGTAGATAAGTAATTTATAATTGATCATGGTACCTATTTCTATACATGGTGAGGAACTTTTGAATTAAGAAACAACTATAGACTCAGTTACAAAGTAGAATATTAAAACCTGAGAAGTTGTTCTACTATATAATAGGTTTTAAAGTACTTTGTCATTGAATAGGATACTATAATACATGTGTTAAATTTGAATTCAGTGTTATACAGGGTGTCCCGTGAGGATTTACCTATTAGCCGTAGAGGGGGATTCGCCGCCCAGACAAAAACCGGTTTTTTGTAGTTTTACTTATTAATTAAAAAAATTATTAAAAATCAGGAAATTAATGAAATTAAAATGTTGAAACGTCAATATTTTCAGAAAAATGAACTCTACAAAATGGCAATCTTCAATATTTTTTTAAATAATTAATTAAAAAAATAATTTTTTTAACTTTTTTACCAAAACATAAAAAAAAATAAAATATATTAAACATCAAATAAAGATAAACTTTATTAGTGTCTTACCTTTATTGGCCCCGATAGCAATATTCCTTGTCATTTATCAACAACAATATTTCTGCTTATTATTCGGTATAGTAAAATTATAAAAAAATGTATTGTTGTATTATAGAATATAATTTAATCATTCAATTTGAATGTATTATTATTAAAAAGTATGTGGCCCACAACAACTTCTACCCATATGATGTGGCCCAGTCTTCACAAAAGGTTGGACACCCCTGGTTTAAAGTATAGTACCTTTTACCTACAGACTACACCTAAAATCCATACATCTGGAGTCATTGAGAAAAAGATATTATAATTTATGTTATCCAAAAATGAATTATGTTGAGTCTCAAATTGGAAATTTTGGTGAGGGGCATAAAATCCAGGATAGTTATTTAGATATAGAGGATTGACAAAAACGGTAAAGTAAAATATAGGAAAATAATACTAGTGAATACCTAATAATTCATAAGAAATCATAAATCAGGATAATAAAATTTTTGAAATAAGTTCATAAGAACTTAAAACCCAGGAAAATAACCTATAGGAATTTTAAAATCAGAAAATTATTTATACAGGAAAATATTACACAGGAATTTCAAAACCGTGAAAATATTCTACATTATTCTTGAATATTACTTTCCCGTGTAAATATTTCCTAATATTTAAATTCTCGTAGTTTATTTTCTTGGATAATATTTTCCTGATTTTTATTTTCCTATGTTAAGTTTATTGATTTTGAATTCTTGTGTATTATTTTCCTGATTTACATTTTCATCAATTTTAAATTTCAAAACATAATAGTCCTCTAAAATATAATTTCCAGAATTGAGTTTAACTAAGAAGTGATTTTCAGTCAATATTAGGTCCCATCACAAAAGCATTCCTGACAAATATTTTCCTGAATTTAATTGTTCCTGACAAAAATTCTTCTGAAAATTATGCGCTATCAATTTTGGTCATTCATTTAAATTTTTATTGTTAAATGTTTAGTTTAATTTAGGTATAAAAAGTCTATAATTTAAAAATAATAGTTCTTTTTGTGTTCAAAAATATTTATTCAATTTTTCCAATTTGTAGATTTTCTAATTACTCACTAGTAGGTAATATTGATTATTTTACTAACTATTTAACTCATATCTATGATGTACACTGTTCCAGTACAGGTATTCATATACCTGTTACGAAGAAGTCATCAAAAGTATGGACCATGTATGTAATCATATTTTGAAATAATATTAGCTCTTATTAAGACCACTCCTGAAAAAATAATAAGTTAATAAAAATTATAGAAACAATAATTTATATTTAATTTAAATGTTAATTAGTTTTGTTCATAATAATAATCTAGTTGATTTACCTGATGGGTTTACTTTAACTTTAAGCAGTGAATCTGGTTTTAAAATCTTTACTGTAGTATTATCGTCATATAAATTCTTGTGAGTTGTGGAAGGTACATAAAACAATTTTAAAAAAAATGTATTATTAATTGTTAGATTATAATCGTATAAAATTATTATTTTGCATATTATTATACCTAAACACTAATAATTTATTTCAAATGTTTCCTTCTTCTTCTGTGAACATTATTTTGTGATTGGAAATAAGGGCTTAAATATTTTAGTTAGGTAACATGATCAAAAAAGAAAACTGGTTTGGAACCCATAATAATTTATAATATGCAACTAATAACAGAAAGTCAATAATAATTATTTTGGAGTATGAAGGGTCTTTTACTTTGTCTTTTATGAATCATTAGTGTTTGTTATGTATGTACTTATGGACTAATATGCTAAATAAATCATTAGGTATACCTTTATTTTGTATCCATTTGGGTTATTTAATCCTAAATTATTTAATGTAATATTGTATGAAAATGGTGTTCCCATTGTCCGACGACTAACAAAAGCAATTGCATACGAATAGTGTTCTATCTCTTTTGGTTCGACTGGTTTTGTCCATATCTCAATTCCTTGGTCCTAAAAAACATTAGGTATTGATTATTTTTAATTGATGTAATAATATGTAGTTTTTTTATATAAAATGAATCATAAAAATGATTTCAAGTGTTTAATATTTTTATTTCTTAATTTAATGATTTTGATATTTTGTACATTTCAACATTTATAAATATTATGTAATATTATATGCAACCTTATAGATCCTTTTGCCTTGGATGCCAAGTTTATCTTGATTGACTCCAATTACTTCAGTATTTTGTAGTATTTTCTTGAAATTTGGTTGGACGGTAGACAATTTGTTTGACATAAATAAAGGTGCAGCTAATATAGCCCATAGAGCCATTTGTGTTTGGCTTTGCTCGTGACTCAATGCAAAATTTCCAATCAATAACTTTAAAAAAAATTCTGTATTAATTTTTATACCTATTACTCAAACTTATTATTCTCATACTTTGAGACAAACTGTTTTAAAATGTATAAGTATCTATAAATCTTACCATATCTGGGTCATTCCATTGTCCTGGACCTGCATATTGAGCCCAAATATCTTGTTTCACCGCAAAATTATCAAGTACATCAAATAAAGAAGCATACGATTCTTGTATATCCCCATAGTTTCTCCATAAATTACAGGATTGAGATACTAGTGTATAGTTAACCTATTTTGACAGAAATAAAGTAATTAATTTAATATTAAGTGCCAAGCCATACTATCTGTTTCATCCGGTATCAGAACCTGGTATTCGTCTGTTTAATGGTCCATCTAGAACTGGTAAAAACGGATAATGTGGTTCATGCACTAATATGTAAGTAAAATTAATTAATTTTTTATCTGAAAATACATACCTGCATTCCTTTACCTTCTTGATAAAATGGCCAACAACAAGAGTAAATCATCGGTCTTCCTGTTTCATTCAAATATTTTCCAAACTGTGGAAAATCTATTAAAATTATAATGTAGGTATATGAATTTGATTTGTTTTTTATGTAAGTAATTAAATCTGTAATTATTATTATAGATTTAAATGATTTCATTACTTAAAGCATAAAATTACTTGTATCCATATTTCGTTCATCTGTGTAGCATCCATCTAGTTTCACATAATCAACTCCCCATTCTGCAAATGTCTGAGCATCAATCTTTTCGTAACCTTTAATACCAGCATATCCTTCACAAGATTTTGTTCCAACACTTTCATAAATTCCAAATTTTAACCCTTTTGAATGAACCTAAAAATATTGAAATTATCTATATGACTAATACATTTGTATTTGTGGAAAAAATATATTTTTTTTTGCATTAATTAATATAATTTAAATTTTCTCGTTTATTTTTAATAAATAATACCTAATGTTTCGAGTATATTTTATATATTTTTTTGTTATGTGGGATAATTTTATTTTATTATTTTCAAACATTAAACACATACTAAAAATAGCTACTTAATAAAAAGTAATTAATTAAGTAAAGTAGGTATTTAAAAAATATTTTGGTTCTATTAAAGGTTCTATTCTAATTTATAAAGATGCATAATAGGTAGTTAGGTATTATATGATAAATATATTATTTAATTATTTATAAATAATCTGAATATACCTACTAAAAACTATCAATTAATAATATTATAACATTCCGTTTTTAAAGTTACTATAGTAACACTATTAGCTTATTTACTTACATAATCAGCAAGAGCTTTAATCCCATGTGGAAATCGCTTTTCATCAGCTTGTAATTTTCCATCTGCTGTTCGATTGTGCATCATCCAACAATCATCGATTACAACATATTTGTATCCAACTTTATCATACCCTTCACTTACTAACAAATCAGCTGTAGTCATAAACAATTGTTCACTATTCAAGAAATGTTTTTCATAATGATTGTGTTTTTTATTTTTAACTGTAAATTTATATTTTAATTTTACCTGACACATTCGTCTGGAAAAGTATCACAATCTATAGTACACCTGAATCGTTGCCAAGCAAGCCAACCCATTGGTGGCGTTAAAGCTAATCCATTATTAAGTGCCAGTGTAATTTTGCAGGCAACTAGTACACACAACCATACTCTAATTTTAGTCATATATGACAACATTTTTAATCAAAATAATAACTGCAAGTATTTAATTGATCTAATAGTTGTACTAATAATGATATAAATAATTTTAAAAAAAATTGGACTACCTATGTATAATCAAATAAATTTATTAAATAAATTTACCATTTTTATTTAAAAATGTGTTATATTAAACTGGCAGTGTTTTTTGTATGAACTAATGTTCATGGTTTTTAGTCTAAATATCAGATAACCTTATGAATGCACAGATAATGAATCGTATTTTGTGTTGATTGCTGAGTGTTATCATGGTATACTACCTATGCACGTTAAAACAAAACTAATGAATATCCTCTTCATTAACAATTAACACTATTTCTTCACCTGCTTTTTACATGTTTGGTCAGACAATTACAAATCATTACTTTTAAATATATCATCAATGTTAATTGTATTAGTGTACACTGTACAACCTAATGGTTTTTATTTATAGTTGTTATTTTGTACCTGCATTTCAAAGCATCTGAAAAAATTGGATAAAAATAATACTTCTAGAAGATTAACTTTACTTACATTTTAGTTTTTAGTTATAAACTATGTGTTATTTATATGAATAGTCAAAGTAATTTATTGGGGGGGGGGGAAGTCAAATGTCTTCAAGCAGGAAGGAAACATACATTCTATAGATTTAAAAAAAAATCAACTATCCTGAAGGAATCCCAACTTCTAGGGCCTATATTGTTGATGTATCATGATGATTAGCCTCGGTTTTAGTTATGGCTCACTTTAGATTATATATAGTGTGTTCACGCTAAGAGGTACCACTAAATATTTCAGTTTCATGACCTTGTATTAAAATGGGGTTTTCGCTGAATAATAGATAGTACTTAAATCCACATTTTCAGATAAATTTCAAATTTTTAACTTTCGGTATGCGCATACCACTTACTTTTTTTTAAATGGCAACATCAACTTTTTTTCACATATTCGGATAGAGTATTTTTTTCTAAACAATTTATGTATAAAAAGTTTTTTTCTAATTACAAAATTGGCATATGAAATTTAATGATGAAGTTTAATATTTATAAATAATAAATGTATCATCACCTATATAACAGACCGGATAGTAAGGATAAAAGAAGATTGGAATGGGCAGGTCATGTATGGAGGAAACCTGATGCTTTGACAAAGACGGTCTTACAAGAGAATCCAAGAGGGAAAAGACCACTTGGAAGACCCCGAATGCGATGGGAGGATTGTGTCAGGAAGGATGTAGCAGTATTTCTGCCTGAGGAGGATTGGCATATGCTGGCACAAAATCGTGAAGGGTGGAGGCAGTTATGTTTGGATGTGTGGTCTAAAAGGCTGTAAACAATAAAAAAATAAAAAAAATAAAAAAATAAATGTATAACGAACCAGAATTATACTATCTTAATTACTGGCAAATGTTGTCAAAGTTGTTTTTACTATTTTATCTGTGTGCAAACAGATATTTAACAATATTGGATATTAATAAGTAACAATAAGTTGAATTTAGTTTAGATTTTGTCAAAACAATTACTCGTAAATATTAATTTTCATCGTTAAATTTCATATGCCAATTTTGTAATTAGAAAAAAACTTTTTATGCATAAATTAACTATAGAAAAAAATACTGTATCCGAATATGTGAAAAAAAGTTGGTTGCCATTTAAAAAAAAGTAAGTTGTAATGAGCACGCGAGTATCAAAAGAGTTAAAAATTTGAAATTTATCTGAAAATGGGTATTTAAGTACTATCTGTTATTCAGCGAAAACCTAATTTCAATACAAGGTCATCGCACTGAAATATTTAGTGGTACCTCTTAGCGTGAACACATTGTATATATATTTTTTCAATTTATCATAGTACTATATGTTGACACGTTTAAATAAAATCTCTGAGCTTTCAAATTTTTAATTTTATACTGTTGTTCTGAATCATATTTATATATCCTTAACCATCTATTTTAACAATGTACCAACATTTTATACAACCTTGAAAGTTAATTTTCTCATTACAATTAATATATTTTTGTGGTTTTTCCAATAAAAATATTGGAATTTGTATTGAATTAGTTTTTGTGTTTAATGTGTTTTTAACTTAAATTGTATGTGTAATATATACATTTTGTAAGCACCGAATTATAAAAAAAACAATAAGTATAATTTTTTATATAATGGCAAAATTAAATTGTTATTTTCTATAAACATTAAACAACTATGTATTTATTTATTATTTTTCACAAAAATCTTAAAATTAATGCTAGGTATTTTATGTATTTTAAAATAATATTGAAGATTACCTAATTGAATACTAATGGTTTATAAATTATTTGTGTGGGTTCATTGTTCATAAATATGTGTGCTCTTAGTGCGGTATAAATGTATAGTATTACATATTAGTATTTACTTTGTGTTATCTTAGGATAAGAAACAGTTGTCTTTATGTAACTACCTATACACACATATATATATTTAATAGTAACTATTCCTATTTCAGAACTCAAGCTGAAATATCACAATTATGTCGAGGTACAATTAGTTTGAATGGGGCTACAATACACACTGAAGATTCATGCACAATTGTTATATCTAATGGTGGCACTCAAACTTTTCACCTCCGTGCCACTAGTGAAGTAGAACGGCAAAGATGGGTAACTGAATTAGAGTTGGCCAAGGCTCGTGAAATTGGACATACAAATACTGGTAAATGTAGTAAAGATATTAAAATATATTTTAAATTGATAATTTTTTTACTTCTCACTTATATTCATTCTCTTATAAAATCAAATAGCTTAACTATTTAATTATAGTTAAACAAACTCAACTAACTAACTTCTATGTAGAATAATTAACTAATTAACTTTATAATCTTGCATATTATTACAATTTGTTAACTGTAATTTAATGATATATTTGAATTGCTCATGAAATATATTTTTTATAACTATTTTTAGATAGAAGCAAGGAAAAAGAATTGAGTGCAAATTTAGAAGTTTCATCCGTAGTGTCATCGTTAAATACCAAATTATCTGAACTGCGATCACAAAGCGAAATTATATCTAAACATAGCAAAGCTCTTCAACGGTGCTTAACTGAACTAGAAACCATAGACATACCTCCTGATGTCTCTACAAAAATAAAAGCATGGATGGAACGTGCAAATTTGATACGTATTGCTTCAGTGGGTATGGTAACTGTAAGTATTCAAGCATGATCAGATCAGTAGTTCATAGTTATCTTGTTCTTGTAAACAATAATTGTATTCAAGTAAAATAAAGGAGGGGTATAATATATTTATTAGAAATTAGAAACTTTTGTATTAATTTTATTTCTTGATTTAGTATATTTTAAAGTTAAACAGAAAGATAAATAATCTTATAAAATAAGGTTTATAGTAATTGAAATGTTAAGGTTATTATTTACATTTGAACATTTGAACCTAAGTAGAGATGTGTTAAAATTAAGTTTTCACAAACTCAAACATATTTCTTTTATTTAACTGTTCGAATACTTTAAACTTAAATTTGAATCTTGTTTAAATTTTTTTTCAGACTTGTCAACTCATAAAAATTTAACCATAACAAAGTTTAAAATATAATAGTAATAATACAGTGTTTAATACCTAACCTAAAGTAAAATATTTATTTAATCTGTTGTCATACTTGAACATTTTGATTATCTTCAAACAATTTAAACTGTTTTAATTTCTTATAGTTCGGGGAGTTAGAAGATTATGAGAACACATTCCTACTTTTAAGTGATAAGTTGTATTAGTTAACTGAAACAAACTGTAGAACTCCTTTTATCGATTAGTTGGTTTCGATTATACTTTGTTATTGACTTGGTCACTATAATGGATGTGTTAAATTTGAATTAAATTATAAAACAATTCTGAGTGAAGGAATGGGTGGTTCAGCATTTATTTTTAAGAATACTTCATGTTATGTTATTAGTATTTTTTTAATTTGCTAGATTTAACTTATTTTTAACAACAATTTTACATATAATTATATTAGTCAATCCGTAGAATGGTGCAAAGAAGTTTATGTTATACATAGCTTATAATTGACTAAATATTTTGAAAATTACATTATATTATGTAGAAAACAATAATATAATATGTAATGACAAAATGTTTCAAGTTCCTGTAATTTATATTTTTTTAATTAAACAAAAAACACATTAAGCACATTAAAATTGTTCTTGGAACAATTGTTATTTTTCATATACTATTTTTCATTTTTAAACTTTTAAACTTATAAACAGATGCTTATAAAAAAAATTGTGCCTACGCATTATTTATTTCTATAAAAACTTATGAGGAACCCTGATATTTTTGAGCTTTTAAATCCAGAGACAAAAATTAAATAAACATAAGTCAAATAAAAAAATAAAAAACATACATTTAAAATGTATATAAATAGCATAGTACAATTATATTATATATTATTAAAAAAGTTAACATAAATATTAAGTGAAAATTTCAAGTCTCGTAAGTATTTCTATCTGTATTATAAAAAAAAAATTGTTTTGTAAAATTCACCATATAACTACTCTATTAGTTGAATATTGAATCAAATTTCCGAAGTGATATTGTGTATGAAATATGAATTGAAATGTATTTATAATATTTTTAATTTTTAAAGTTAGTGATAAATCATCATGAAGGTCATCATGTATGTAAAATATAATTTGTTCATAATCATTATAATTTACTTGAAAATATTTATTATTATTGCTGAAAAAAGACGCATATAGATTCATAAAGTAATGTAAAAATATATTATGTATTTTAGAATTGTTCGGAGTATTTAGATTTGGCTCAAAGTCAGGGTAATAAGTGGCAAAAGATGTTGTATAATGAACGGCGACAGCGAATACAGTTGGTAGAAATGGTGGATCAAATTGCTAGGGAACAGACCGTATTGGAGCATGTAGCTAATAATGACAAACAAGGTAATTAAGTATCAATAATATTTACTTGTATAAACGAAGATATTTTATATTATACACAAGTATCTATATACCTACAGATAGATACATTTTAATATTGGGTTTGATTATGGTAAAATTCAAATTAAATAATCATTTAAACCTTTATGTGATTATATAAACTAATATTATCTTATGTTTATAAACCAATAATTATTAACTTGCATGAGTAAATTGAAGACCTCATAACATTTTTTTTAATTTACAACTTTATTTGTTGTTAATATTTTACGTGGTTTTTTACTTACTTATTTATGTCTTTTATACATAACAAATATAGATTAAATTTAAATGTAAAATATTATTTTAATATCTATTTAAATTAATAATTATACAATTTATAATTGTATAATAATCTATTAATACATTACAGTCAAATTAATAGAATGGTCACTCTGAATCATTATTTAAAAATAAAATAGAATTTTATCAATTTGATTTTGTTCCTATATATTTTTTTTTTTGTACACAATTAGAACTTAAATGAGGAATCTAACTTTTAAATTTTAATACTATATTTTCAATGTTTTTATGACATCAACCACAATTAGTTATCAAAAAATATTATTACCTGTTTAAAATTGTAAAATCAACATAATCAATCATTCAATATATTATTTGAATGTTTGAAAATTCAACAAAAACTTTTACGTAAAATTAGATATATAATGTTATAATATAATAGATAATTATAATTAATAGTTATTTTCATTATTATTATTATTATTATTATTAGAATGTTGATATCATTATTCATTTAATTATAAAGTTATTAAAAATTTTTCACTATTCAAACCCTTAACTAAATTGTTGTTACCATTTAGAATAAAATATTAATGATTCCATATTAGTTTTTAGATTAATATTAAATAAGAGAGAAATATTTTAACTTTAAATACTTTTACTAAAATTATTTATTACAGTATAATAAAATTGAACATTTAAAATGTTGGAATTATTTAAAATATAAATTATAAATATTACCTACGTTGTACCAATAAGATATTATGATTTATAATCAATCATCATTATTCATTATGTTATCACTGAATCAATACAAAAAAGTATTCTGTACTTGTAATAATATAATTTATAATATTATGTATAAATACTAATTATGTATATTACATTAATACATGCTAAGTGCTAAAAGAAAAATTTACCTTTATATACACAAGGGCTCTTCTTGATTTTCTAGAATGTAACAAAAGACAAACATTTCACTAAGTTCATTAATTATTTTTGCCTTGAATATTTTTTAACAATATTCTGTTCTACTATATACTTATTATTAATATTATTTTATTTGTTTATAATAATGATTCAAAGGTTATATTTACATAATATGTTTCATTTTTTGTGCCTTGTGATAAGAGATAACCTTATGAACAATTATAAAAAATGTAACACAATATTAATTGTAGATACCATAATATTGTTATATTTTCAACTTAAATCTATTTAATTATATTATTCTTAAATATTTGTATGTATTAATATAATGTTAAGCTTACGATAGCTTTATTTTTACTTTACCTACCTATATATTTTTAAAACTTATAAATTTACTTGATTTTTTGTCGACTTGGCTTTGCTATTCAACTATATTTAATTTGTATGATTTTTTACTATAATTATATTGATTAGATTAGTGTTAATCATATATTTTATATATTTTTTGTTGATTTATGTACTTGAATATACAATAACATTACAGTGATGTATAATTATATTTATTATATTGTATTTATCATGCAATATTATTATTCATTATGGTAATCATTTTCTTATTTAATATTTGAATACTGTGTTATTGTAAAGTTTATATTTTATTAGGTGATTCTACCGACGAAGATGATGCTTCAGACAGTTGTGAATTTTTTGATGCTCAAGGTGGTGATTCCTTTGACGTAACCACAAATAATTATCTAGTTAACTGTCAGTCTCAAAATATTATCCAACACAAATCTCTTTCAAGCTCACAGGTATTTCTGTAGAACTTATTAAAATTTAAAATTGTTCTCAACTTAAATAAAAATTATTTAAGGTTCTTGAAAAATTGGTCAATGAAGAACTAGATTGTAGTGGTGGATCTAGTAGTGATATTGACGATCCTGCTGAGTCATCAGCTATATTAACAGCTGCAATTTGTTCATCAACTGGCTTAAATACTGATCGTGTATGTTTATATATTATATAATCAATATTATTGTATAAATCTAAAATTATATTATTGTCATTATTAATTATTTTTAGGATGAAAATAATAAATCTTCTAGGATGTTCCCTCAACTTTCGGAACATGCCAAAAAAATGCTAGAGGACGTGATTAAACACCCTTTAAAACAAAAAGACAAACGAAGGTGTAGAGTGACTGACAAGCCAAATCACCCGTTACATATTTGGAGTATTTTGAAAAATTGCATTGGAAAAGATTTGTCTAAAATACCAATGCCGGTATTGTTTAGTTATTTTTTTTGATCAAATTTTTAGTTTTACCTATTGTCATTTTTGTTACAGGTCAATTTTTCTGAACCACTATCAATGTTACAAAGAATTACTGAGGATTTTGAATATTCAAATATTCTAGATACAGCAGCTCAATGTAAGGATTCATTTGAGCAGATGGCATATGTTGCTGCATTTACGATTTCATCATATTCGACAACTGTCAATCGGACAAGTAAACCTTTTAATCCATTGTTAGGTGAAACATATGAATGTGATAGAATGTCAGATCTTGGTTGGAAAGCATTTAACGAACAAGTAAAAATGCTGTTAGTAAATTTATTATATATAACTGTTTAATTTAAAATTGTAATATAGGTTTCACATCATCCTCCAATTTCGGCTCAGTATTGTTCGGGTAAAGAATGGTCTTGTTGGCAAGAATTTTCAATGTCCTCAAAATTCCGCGGTAAATACTTACAAGCAATTCCTAATGGTATTGCTCATCTTGATTTCCCAGCATCTGGTTAGTTGTGAATATTTAATTTATTTAAAATTAAATTTAAACTATTTATAGATTTTAATTTTCTAAGCGTTCTTTATTTGTAGGGAATCATTATACTTGGACCAAAGTCACAACTACTGTTCATAATATAATTGTTGGAAAACTGTGGGTTGATCAAACAGGTGATATGACAATAACAAATCATAAAGATGGTTCTAAATGTCGCTTGAGTTATATACCCTATAGTTATTTTACTAGGGATCAGCAAAGAAAGGTATGTTAAAAATGTTACAAATCAGTTTGTGTATTGTAATTTATATACATTTTTGATTTTAGGTAAAAGGATATGTTATGGATAAAGATAATGAAATTAAATGGGTAATAAATGGTACGTGGGACAATAAAGTTGAAATAGCTCCTGTTACCAAATTCGAAGGTCCTATTGAGAGTCCTACATGTCAAACAGGAAGTTATATAATGGCCTGGCAAAGACAAGCACCTCCGTAAGTTTTGTAATGCAAAACATATGTAAATTATATTATCATTAATTTTTGTTTCATTATTATTGGCTTATATTAAGATCTGACAATGAAAAATACTACTATTTCACTATATTAGCAAGCCAATTGAATGAAATCGAAGAAGGTGTAGCACCAACAGATTCAAGATTACGGCCAGATCAACGTTTAATGGAGTTTGGTCTTTGGGATGAAGCTAATATTGAGAAATTAAGGTTAGAGGAATTTCAGAGAGTCAGAAATCGCAAAGCAAATGCTGGAGTAGCTGATTCTAATCAAATCAACGAAAATGGTATAATATTTAAATTCTATAATGAATATTTTTAATATTTTCTAAGCATTAGATTCTTGACTAGTTCTGTAGTAAATAATAATCTAAATTCTAAGTGGACACCAAATCACCTATAATTTATCCATGAAAATGGATTTGTGTTGGAGACAAACTTACAGAGATTGAATTCACCGTAGCCTTACCTATTTTTACCCATACATATAGATGAAATTTATGTACTGTTGTAGAATTTTTATTTTTATGATGACTGATAGACAACCCAAATAAATTATTCATATAGATTAATATTTTTTTAAATTTTTTTATTTGTTTTTTAAATTATTGAGTTTTGACACAGATTATAAGTTCTCTTCTATGTAATTTGAACATTAGGTAAACCTAGTTTAAATAATGTAGTTGTAAGTTTGTACCATGCAAAACCGTTTTTCTATTTAATTGCATTGTTGGTCTGACATGGGACTACTTTTTAAACATGTTTAAGATTAATTGCTTATATTTGAAGTTAGAACCCCTTAAATAGCGGGTGCGGCATCTTCTTCAAGTAGATCAGTAGATAATATTTATAATTTTATTTTATAGAAGAAGAGGATGATGAGACAGTCCAAGAAAATGATAACAGTGCTATCAAACCATTATGGTTTAAACGAGATGTGTGCAAATGGACAAAAAAGCCTTGTTTTACTTTTACGCATGAATATTGGGAGTGTAAACAAAAAGGAGATTGGAGTAGATGTCCATCTTTATTTTAAATAAATGTGATAATTTGTTTATTTTATTAAGCTTAAGCAACATTGTATGTGGCCATATTATGTTGAAACCTTAGATTTATTGTGAACAGAAGTATCTCAGAATTTAAGTATAATACAAAAAACTCCAAAATGCACGGAAGTCTTTTCATGTTTATATTATCTCCTTAACTATTTTATGACTTGTAACTTTGAGTATTTTTTCCACTATTTGAACTCTGAATCTATTGCACTGCATAAATCTTGTAGACAAAATTAGCCTAAGGAAATATTTCAGTTAATTTATAAATTTTCAAATCATTGTTTTTACATGTTATATTTTTATTCTTTTATATGTTTTGTTATCTAAATTATTTACAACAAAGTTGTCCTTGTATTATTTTTAATTTATTTATTGTCAATTATTTCTGTTTGTTCTATTCAATCATTTCACAATTGATTTATTATTTAAAAATTTTCCTTTTAAAGATAATGTAATATTTAAATCATTATTGAAATGACAAAAGATGTGAAAATGATTAAACTTTTAAAATATGAATCTTTATTTAAAATACAATTTATAATGTGTTATGTAAAAAAAAATAATTGAATACTACTCATAAATTAATTGGCGTTAGACGTATTCTTAAAACATAAGTTTCAACACTATCAATTAAAAAAAAAATTTGAGTAAAAATGTTTATATTTTGAAGAAAAAAATTAAAAAAAATTATTGATGTAAATTATTTTAAAAGGTGATAACAAATAACAATAATTATTTTTTGTAACTCAATCAGTTTTTAATAATTATCATATCTATTAATGTTTCTATACTTTTATTTTGAAGTTATTGTTTACACTAACATAAAACAATATAGGTTCTAAGAAGTTAAATAGATATTGTTTAAAATTGTTTTTATAAAAAAAGTTTTTAAAAGTGACAATAACTTGTCTTATAATTCATCAACAAGGACGTTATGTGTGTAAATCACTGTTTAGCTTTAAATTATATAATTAATATTTATGTGTGGCAAAATAATCAACTGTAGTTATTATAGGTATTCTGTTTATAAGCATAAGGATAAAAAGAATGACCAGGATAAAAAAAACAAGTATTTTTAATTTATAGCATTCCAATGATGTATTTGTATTTTTTTTTTTTTATAAATCTATTCAAAATTTTATTTTTGTTAAAAAAATCACATATATTTATTATTTTATTTTATTTTGTTAGACATACATGAAAAGATCGGGTACTTATGCAATGGCTCTAGTTCTCATTTTCATACTTTTAATTCATCTTTATGCTCGTTATAAAAATATATAATTCAGATATTGTTTGTTATACTAAAATTGGCATGTGTAAAGTATAGGTCTATAATATATATATTTTTTGTTTTTGTTTTGTTGAAATGTCCATGCAATTTGTACGACTAACTAGAATTCATGATTCTTTTTGTTTAAATTGAAATTTCAAATTTTGCATGCAACTGTTCACTACATCTATTATAGTTATTAATAGTCATTGAATATTTTTTAATTTTAAAATATGTAAACATGTCATAACGTTATTATTGGTGATACACTATTAAGTATTTTTTTTTTTTTTTTGTAATTTTTTTATATTAATTCTATAAAAATCTATCAGTGAAAAGACTTACCTAAAAAACACTAGTTTAAATGTTTTAAATTATAAATTTCAAAGTGAAATTTATAAAAAATTATTACAATTTAAATATAATATATATTATATTCTAGTGTGTCGTACAACTTGATATATAATTTATTTTATTTAAATTAGTCAATCTATGTTACCATATAATGTTCTTGTAATCCTGTGTAATAGTAAATAGTTAGTCAACAGTTTTATTTAATTTAATTAAACTTAAGGGCTGTGAATAAAAATCAAGAATAAATGCTATAAGCATAGCATAGGCTATCAGTATTATAAACAAATGTCAACGTATTATTTGATATATTATATTATATTTTGATGTCTGTGTATCTGCGTTACTCCTTGTCAACACTAAAATGTAAATTTAATTATTATGCATGTACAATATTATTGTACGGATCAACAGAAATACATTTTTTTTAGTTCAAGTGAGTTAGTATCTAAGCAAAAAACGGGTGTGGGTATACCATTTCGTTTATATTACAGTTTGTTTTAAAGTTATTAATATTAATATAAGATAATAATACGTACTTATAGTTTTTTTTTGTTTTATTTATTTGTGTTTAAAATTTATTACATAACTCAATAAGTACCTATAGTATGATATAATATAATATAATATTATATATTTATGAGAAATAAATCTATGAAATCATTGCAAGATGTATTGCTTAATTATTGTTAAAATGGATTTAGTAATATTACCGTTACACCTACTGGCTCATCAAACATTTTACACAAATAAGTAGAAAACAAATTAAATTTCTAATATTTTTGATCCAGGTGCAAGATTTGTGTACGTCCTTTACATTCTAGGATTTTTATTTTTGAAACAGGACAGAATACATGCATTGCCTATTGGTCGTTGTAATGGTCCTTTATGTTGTTATCCAGTAGCAAATAATATGCATTAGTTATGGTTGAAATATTATGTTGAATCAATGATAGGGATTGAAGAAGTAGTTTTAATGAACCAGGCTAGAGTGAGCGCCAAACGTCTGGACATGTGTGAAAGGAGAGTGTGTTGGACATCACAATTCGGTATGAATAATATTTAAATTTATAGCAAACTTTAATCACTTTTTATTTATAATAAACACTTTAATCATCATGTTTAAATTAAAAAATATTGGTAGATGGACGATAAATAGACCACTTTGCTGTGCTCAGCACAGAATAATGATAAATCATAATTTATAAAAAAGTGTTTCTAGAAAATTATTGATAAGATATTTTCAACATTCATCATAATAGAGTAAAAAATTTGGCCCTGATTTGCATACATAATGCCCTAATAAGATATTCCATTGAAGTAAAAAACTTACCCTTAGGTACCTAATACAATTTTTTAGATTCTGAGTGAAACGATGAATGTATTGAATTTTACAATGATGTGTTTTTTTTTAAATTTTTTAATTTTTGTGTCTGTCTTCATCTTTTAGGACAGTAAAAATGCTTAGATTTTCTTCAACCGTATCTTTTCCTATAGTAAAGTGAATCTAGTTTTTACTTAGGGGGCTCAAAAGTAACAATTTTCCAGTAGTTTTCAAAAGCACCTTGAAAAACAAAAGAAAAATTAAGGAAATCTGGGAATTTGTACGCAAAATCTGTTTTCGATTTTGGTCTTTGGTGGAAATCTTAAGCAAATGACCTTAGGACTTTGGTACATACAATTTTGACTGAATGTTTTTATTAGCATTTTCTATACACCATAACATTTTCCAAATATTTTGATTTATTTTGAGCTGTTTACGGACATTTTCAGTTTCCATTTTTTTAGTTGTAATTGTATTTTAGTTGTATTTGTATTTTATGTTATGTACAAAAATAAATCGAAAAAATAATTACATTGCTTTAGAAAAAAATCACGGTACTTACATAAAATAAAAAAATACTAGCAATAATGTGTTACCACTTACCAGTAAGAGTTCTCCTTGTTGTTACTCTTTAGATCGTTTCAAACTCGTGGGGACTTTGGTGGGGTGAAAGAGGGTACTTCCGGATACTGAAAGGAACCAATGAGTGTCAGATTGAAGACTTCGTTGTTGCCGCGATGGCGGACATCGGCAATTTCTATAATATACCGGATCAGTCGTTCAGAGAAAATGCTTCATACACATTGAATGGCACCAAAATCGATATTTCTTAAGCCACATGTCTATACATAAAATCTTTGAGATTACGTTGTGGTCAAATGATCCAGAAAATCAAAAATTCAAGGGATAAAAATTATTCATATCACCTATACTGATGTATATTTATCATTTTTATGTGTTTAATAAAGAAAAAAAAATTCAAGAAAACGTATACCTACCCTATAATTTATAAATTTATTATATTTATTTAAATTTTCATCTACTCATCGCCTTCCCGAGGAGGAGAGGAGAGCCACATATTATTATACTGTACCTACTATTTAGCTTTAAGGGCCATTTTTGATTGTTATTATATTTTATATTGTTGTTTCGTTATGCATATATTATTATCTATTTTATCAGTAGTACAACAATTTAATTACCATTATAATTTAGTTACCATTTTTCGAGCTACCTTTCTATCATCATTGTTCCTTGTTAGTACACTCACTCAAGTCTACATATACACATATACATTTAGTATTTACATATACACATACACCAAAACACACACACATGTACACAATAAATTAATGGCATACCACACACTATAGCATTCAATAGTCTTGCTCGCCGAACCCGTCCACTTTTTTCGAATTGCTAATACCTATAATATACACATATAACACAGGATCTTTTTCAACACATCTTTTTTTCTATTATTCTGTAGGTACTTTTAATGAATCTAAAATACGAATATTAATGCGAATAGTTAACTTAGTGAAGTGCGACAGTGATTAATTCTAGTTATTATTGTTATGAACAATGTATAATATATAATATTTAACCCTAATATGAGTTATCAAAATCTTAATCAAATACTTAAAGTACCTACCTACCTACCTAACATTGTAGAGACCTGATAAAATGTTTAAAAGATTTAAAATCGTTTAGAGTCTGAACAGATACATAATAACTGTAGGGGTAGATGTCTATAATACTTAAACTTACAGTGATAATAGCAAAATTAGGACATTAAAAAGGTGCTCTGATGCACAGTAGGTTACAAGTGGGTCACTGTATAATGAATGGTATTAAATTTGAATTCGATGATATAATATCATTGTATAAGAAAAACGATTCTGAAAAACGGTATGTCAGTCTAGGTATAAGACATATTATATAGGTACTTATCATCTATAGTATTAAAAAAAAAAATTGACCTATAGGCTATAATAAATTCCAAATTAATCATATCACAATATCCATTAGGTACTTAAAACGCGTTATACATCAACAACAAACCGTTATACTATCATAGATATATAATAGTATACTTTAGAAGTTTCAAGTACCTACCCACGATTAATATTATACAATCACAACAAAAAAACTAAAACAGTTATTCTAAGTTTTTTATTATGTAATTTCGTCCAAATTCGAACTTAAGATGACTATAAAAATAAACTGTCCATTCTGTATTTTTAGATTTTTTGGTAACAGAATTAACTACTTACGTGGAATCTTGTTTTAAATTTTCAATCCTTACATATAAAAGTTGAACATTTTATAAATTTTTAACTACAAAATAATTATTTAATTTTAAATTTGATAAATTTTTTCAAAATTCGATGTTTAAATTCTTATAAAAAAAAATTGTGCCTATGTATTTTTAATATTTTCAACTGCTATTGTAACAATATATCAGGAGCCTTGTATTACATTTTTGGCCCAACAGATAAAACTTCATTGATATTTATAGAAAAAAAAACTAAAAAAATTGAAAACTGTAAATGTCCGTAAATAGCTCAAAAAGAGTCAAAATATTTTCAAAATTGTATGGTGTAAAGGAAATGCTAAAATGAACATACAGTGAAATTTTCATATATCTACAGTTGTTCGTTTTTGAATTACAACAAAATAGGAAAATCACTACATGAGAAATCGAGTGAATATCCAATGTTGTAAAAATTTGAATTTCAAACGCTCATAAAAATTTAATTTGAATTTCTTATAGACATTTTTTTTTTGATAAAGGTAGATAATCTTATTAGAAATCTTGTATTCAATTTTAAAATCTTAGATTTAAAAAAAAATTTCTACTAATTCTTAACTCAAAATAATTTGCTAATTTTCGTGATTTTTTCATATTTTGTCAATTTTTGAATTTAAATGCTTATAAAAAAAAAAACTGTGACTAAGGATTTTTAATATTTTTCATCTGCTTTTGAAACAATATGCTATGAGCCTTCTATTAAATTTTCAAGATTTTTTAACCCACAAATAAAATTTTATTGATATTTTTAGAAAATAAACTAAAAATTAAAGCCATATTAGGTACCTACTCAATAACGCAATCTTTAGAGTTTAGACTCTAATATTTTGAATTTTCCAATATTATGGACACACTTTTACGAATAATTATTATGATAACTAAATCAAACGAAACACTAGATATTCCTACTTCGCATGCAGACCACTACGTCCCTATATTACCTCACCTTACAAAAATATGTGAATTACTTTTTATAAAACCTTTGAATGTATATTCCCATACATACTAAGAAGCAATAATATACTTCCGCCCACTCAATTTAGTTTCAGTTCTAACCATATAGTATGCTACATCAGGGTAACAGAGTAGTTGATGCTATCCCCTACTTCACTCGAAATAAACCGCCATTGTACTGGTGTATTCTTAGACATATTTCATACTTTTGACATAGTTCGGCATGAAGGCATCCTATTTAAACTTTCCAAATGTCTACCCGAAACGGTTTTTTCTATTAATTTAATCATATCTTATGTAATGCCACATCCAAATACGCCATTCTAATTAATGCAGGAGGACCTCAAGGGGCATATAACATAATTGGATACTGCTAAGAATATTCTATACTTGCTATGGCAAAAGCCAAAAACAAAAATCAATCAGACACACGCCTTAACTTATTTCATGTGAAATCGCTATGTAGTCGCACTATACACGTGCTGTACCTACATATGTTGTTGACCGTTATAATATTATATCTTATGTTATAATAATAACATTATAATATACGTAACCACGTGGGTAAAAGTTTTATGTTTTGAACGATTGGCCGTTGCGGTCGTATTCATTTAGTTTCCGTGGTTATATTATTGTTATTGATTTGTAAAAAATATTAAATCCTCTAGGAAAAGCACAATATTCGTATAGTGTTTTGCGTTCTGCTAGATTTTTGCGATTTATTGTTTTGAAAGATCTGTTGTAAGTTTCAATTTATATTTTCGCACATGCCTTCGCCACGTGATGCTATGCCGAGCGGTCGCTATGTAAGCCACGGACGACGATGTCCGATGGTCATGGAGTGCGTGTTAATGTTGGTCATATTGATTCCGCTAATCGACGGCGGCACCGGAAGTCCGGACGCGCACGGCACCAGTCTGTACAAGGTCGCGGACATCGACCGGAAGACGTGGACTTCGGCCGATTGTATAGAACTCCAGTGCCGGAAGTCGATTGGGTTGTTGATTCCCGGGGCGAATTTCACCGACGGCGAAGGCGCCGGCGTAAGGTTCCTGCAGTACTTCGACGCGGTCAAAGCTGAAGCCAAGAAAATCGTGTCTTCTGTGGCCAGAAAACGCGCCATGATCGCTGTCGTGGACGCCCTGGGAGGTTACTTGCACACCAAACTCTTGCCGCATGTCAGAGAGCAATACTATGCAGGCCGGGCCTCTTACTCGACGGTCAAACGGTTACAAGACCTCGATAAAAATATAAAGTGATTTTTTTTAATTGTCTTAATACAGTGTTAAATATTTTACTATTTAAATATTCACTCTCGAGTAACTTGCAGCTAAGTAGATGTAAGTAAGTAAGTACCGCAGACGGGCCTGCGTATAAATACAGGTATATATCGAACCCTAACCTCCGAACAACCGCTTAAACGAGGGTAGGTACTACTTTTATTCTATTTTTTTCCCCCGTAACGCGTTCCGTACTATTTAAATCCGATCTTGTTAAGATTATACGACCCCGTTTCCGCTCAGCCCATACGATATTACCACCGTCACATACGCATCCGTTCCGACCCGTTGGGACCACTATACGTGCAGGTGCAAATATTTTAAACAGTTATTTATTATTATTTATGCAAGATGTTGCAAGCTGAGTGTTAACCCTGCGTAGGTCGCGCGGATTACCATTGTAATCCATCTAAAAATAAATGTTTTTTTCGTATATTGAAAACCAATAAAATTACCTTATCTTTTCGGTACCTTCGAATAACATGTTGCTTAATATAATTAGTTTGTTTCCGAATACTGGTCGCTAAAGTTGTCGTTGTTATCGGAGTTCAAAGTGTGTTGGATTACCAGTGTATGCCGCGCGATCTTTCACGCCCCTTTTTTTCAGTTTATTTTATATATTTAACATGTACACATATTTTATAAAGTACTCTTGTTTTTTTTTTATTATTAATATAGAGAGCTAAAATATATGTAAGATACTTAAATATTAATATGTTTATACAGAAATATTATAAAAATTTAATTACATTGAGTATCATTACAATTTAAGAAAACAAATTCTAATAAATTATTATTTATTCTCATTTAAGTTAAAGTTCATATTCTAAGGTAAAAAAATTTTAATTTTAATTTTTTCTTTATCGCAATATATTTTTCCATATGTACTTAGTATATAACAATAATTTAAATTTTCAATATAGACTTAGAACCTATTCAAAAAAAATAAAAAAATAATGGATTACAACTGTAATCCGCGCGACTACTGGCGTACTATCAAGGCACGCGACCTACGCAGGGTTAAAAAAAAAATGGATAGACATAGAGTCATGTGCTTGAAAATACTTCACGAAATTAAACATTAATATTAAAATTATTAAATATTATTTATTAGGTAGGTACCTATACAATCACTGTCTGTCATAATACCTATTATATCCATCTCGATGTGTATAATAATGGTTATTTGTAAATGATTTCATTGTTATTATTGTGATTATACCGAAACATAATCATCATTGGCGCGGCTGTCCACAGGTACATTTTGGGCACGGACGGCCGAGGTTGGGCGAGACCGATAGTGACAGACCAGCGGTCCAGCGAGGACGTGTCGTTAGCGATGTGGCGGGCAGCCGAACGTAAGCCACCGGTTAGGCCCGGTGAGGGCTCATCGGAACGTTGCGGTGGCGTGGCCGCGGGCCGTTACGGTTTGCTGGGCAACGACGACCCCGTGCCGCATTTCGACAACAACACGAGACCGCATTCGGTGGTGGTGCCATGGCGCCAGGGGCGGACTGTGCTGTACGGCATCCGGGACGCCGGTTGCTATCGGACGCTGTTCGACCACCTCGCTGCGGCCACAGCGGCCAACATGCGCGGACGCAGCGCCACACTGCGTCAGTGGCTGGACGAGGCCGTTCTGCCGCTCGTGACGGCTCTGGCCACGGACCGATGGTATCCGGCTCTGTGGGGCGTTACGCTCGTGGCCAGGCGTCTAAAAGACGACGTGGACGCCGTTACTCGTGTTGGCGATCGGGGTGGCCACCGCCTGCAAGTGGACTGCGATTGGACGACCGCGGAGGTGCCCGGCCACAATTTTTATGCGGCCATCGTCCTGGCGTCCGCGTACGTCTGCTGGTCGGTGGCCCTGATCATCGCACTTTATCCCACCGAAGTACAATAGGAACCCAGACAACAAAATAAAGTTTAGAGAAGTTTCAAAAACATTTGAAATATAACTTTATTTTGTTGTCGGGGTTCCTATTGTACTTCGGTGGGATAAAGGGCCACCGACCAGCAGATGTACGCGGACGCCAGGACGATGGCCGCATAAAAATTGTGGCCGGGCACCTCCGCGGTCGTCCAATCGCAGTCCACTTGCAGGCGGTGGCCACGGCCGCCACCCCGACCGTCCCGATCGCCAACACGAGTGACGGCGTCCACGTCTTTTAGACGCCTGGCCACGAGCGTAACGCCCCACAGAGCAGGATACCATCGGTCCGTGGCCCGAGCCGTCACGAGCGGCAGAACGGCCTCGTCCAGCCACTGACGCAGTGTGGCGCTGCGTCCGCACATGTTGGCCGCAGCGAGGTGGTCGAACAGCGTCGAACACCCCGAAAATAAAGTCTTGTCCTGTCTTGTAGTTTTTGTATTTAAATTTGTTTGTTAACTAATAGATTGAATGTATTAATTGTAAAATAACTTCTGTCAATAAATACAATTAATAATTAAAAATTTACTGTTTTTAAACAAAAATCAAATATCATTCAATAACGCCAGTACCTATATTACAATAATTATAGGTAATGATTAAATAATATACTTAATTATTTTGAGTACCTTAATATAAAATGGAATGGAGATTTTAAATAAAACAAAGTTTTAATGCAGTAATAGTACCTAATATATTGTTTATTATTTATTAATTCATATTTATAAAAGAACACAATTTATAGTTTGTTATTTTTTTCAATTGCTTTGTTTAGAAGTCTAAATTTAGAGTGATTGAGCCGGTTTGCAAATGGGTCATTTAAATCTTTATTGATTTTATCTTTGTATTTTTGATGGATTCTCAATGCATATAAAACAAATAAAACATATATAAAGTTAATACAAATAAAATGTCCACCACAAAAGTTAAACCTAGTTCTCAGATGGGTGACCCAGTTTCGTAGTGCGCAAAAACCTTGCCACACATACACGTGTTCCTAACCGATCGTACCGACCGTACCAACCCTACTATACCAACCCCACCAACGTACAGGCTAACGACCTCTGCATCCTTCGAACCCTTAAACCTAAAAATAAAAAAAATAATATATATATACATATTTATAATAATTAAGTGTAAATAGGTACGAAAGAATTAAAAATAATAGTTAAATAAGATATTCTTGTAAATCAAATATAAATGATAACAATCAAACATATTATACAGGTTGGTCAATTCAGTTAAATGTTAACATTTATAATATGCAATATCATGCATCCAGTTTATACCCCACAATTATTGGTAGGAGGTATCTACCCATAAAAGTTACCCAATAATTTAATATTTAAATACATTTATATGTAGGTATCATGTATTTTTGATCTGAAGTTATTTACCTACATTTTTATGTTAGACGCAAAAAACACATTAATTGTTTCCAGGGTTATTCAAAGTTACAAAGTTGTATATTATTCAAATGAATTTAAGTGTTATTTATTTTTAAATTCTTACTTTGATTCTTGAATCTTTTAGTATCTATATCAATTTAATGGAGGTCTAAGAATGTCTGTTTCAATTCTGAAAGCAACGTTTCTCTGAATTTTGTAACTTTTTTAAATGTGAAATCTGCAGTAGGATTGTTGATTCTTGGATAAACTATGTGAATACATTATTTAATATATTATTCTGTTTAAAATGTTCTTGATCTAATTTGTATTCAGATTTTTTTTTTTTTACTCGAAAAATTAGTTTTAAACACTAGAGTTCAGTTTGTATGGGGGCGTGTTTTAAATATATTCATAAAATATGAATATTATAATCTCTTTGGCAGTTAATTTTATCAAAGAATAATACTGTGTAAAAAGAACATATTTATATTACTTACATAGATATATGAATATATGAAAACGGAATACAATAATACCATATAGTCCAGATACTCCAGATTATATTTTATTTTCTCCACTTTCTAAACTTTCTAAACCATGTATGTGAATAGTTTTCCTAGCAAGGCACGGTAATGGTTCAGTGATGGTAAATATTAAGTTATTCTACTTGCAGTAACCACATGCTACTGGTTTTAACTGTGTGCGACCGGTGTGTAATGACCGGGATAACTGGAATTCCGCGGCACAACCTTTACCGCGTGTTTCAGGTCGCCGAGTTCGTCGTCTTGGCCAACATTTTTGTTATCGTGTTCGCATTTTACATTTTAGATTCCAAGCAAAACCTCGGGATGTTTTTATTTTAGGTAGGTGATCATTTTTTTTTTTTTTGGAGCAGAGAAGTGCTTTGAAAGTTTCTTATAGAATGTACATTGGGCACAGATGTTGTAGGTACTTTAGATACCAGCTAGGTTATTTTTAAGATTTCCCAGTAGTTTTCGAGAAAATTGCGAAAAAACGGAGAAGTTTTTGTCACACGGGAGACAGCCGTGGTTAACCGGGAAAAAAAAATTGTATTTGGATTACCTATTTTACAACTTTTATACATGTTTCGACGATATTATTTTTCGATTTAATTTTATATCACGAAAACAAAATAATATCTTTATGATTACGAGCGATAAATGAATTGATTTTACAATGAAGTATGTGTTTTTTTCTTGTGTCTGCCATCACCTTTTGGAGCAGTAAAAATGCTTCGATTTACATCTTTGTGAGAGCAAAAAAATAATATCTTAATGATTACGAGTGAGTAATTTTAGATTCAGAGAAGAGCGATGAATTTTGTTTTTTTTTTTAATTTATGTATTTGTATTAATTCAGAGCGGATCGACTAATATGTGAAACCAATATATATGATGATTCACTCTATGTCTTTTTTAATTTATTTATCCATATTTTTCTGTCTGTGACCACCTTTTGGAGCAAAAATAATACTGTATCATTGAAGGTAGTAGTTTCTGGTTGAAAATTGGATCTAGTCGGTACATAGACACTTAGTGAAGTGTAAGGTAGAAAATACCGCAGTACTTTTCAAAGTTTAATCGCCAAAAATAAAATGCTGAAAAGCTGGAATCTTTACGGAGTACCAGCTTTTGACTAATTGTATTTAGTTATTTTAATGTAATAAAAAAATGGACAACCGTAAGTAAATGAAATTTTCATCAAATATTTACCTATATAGGTATTAGCATATTCTTGAAATGATATAATTTTCAAAATATTTTTTATTGTATTTGTAACAATTTGAAATTGTCTCAATTTTTTTGTTTTAATTTCGATATAATACATACGTTTTCCCGTTGTTGTGGTATCACGTGGTATACACCATCTCACCATTAGTAAAATTGATACGTCCATAAAACATGTTTAAAACTAATCAGTAATCACTGTTGTTGCACACTGAGCGTCTCAAAATAACACTAGATATAATTACGCATATATATAGAAGTAATAATAATTTGATCCATAAGTCACAACATTTTCTTTATACCACATAATATAGACAGGCCAGCCTATAATACTAAACTAGCAATGTCTAGTAAGCGGACTAGTTACTCTATAACCAAACGCCTCGCAACATTGATTTTCGAATGTATAATGGTGTACAATTGTTTATTATCGTTTTTGATTATAAAGTAGTTGACCGTTCCAGTACATCTTGCAAATTTCAAGATGAACATTTTCTTATATTATCCCTTAATACGGGGTGGCATCACCGAAACATTAAAAACGCGGATTAAAGCAAGCACGCGTCGCACCGGACGTGACATTACAATCATACGAACAATACACGCGGTGAATATAGTATGGGAATTCATCTTAAACGAGGGGCTTAAACTTTAAATAATTTTATACTTAAATATGTACATATTTTTGTGAATTACATTCGACGGGTGACGTAAATGCCTACCCTTGATTAAAAATAGACTTATGATATAACTATTGGAATATACCACACGATGCCAGGTAGAGCTAGTATGGGAAATGGAAATGATGAAGAATTGTTTTCGTTTAACTTCAGTCAGACATTTTATTACTTTTTATTGACTAACGCGTATATTATACATTTATACATTATATTACAGGCACCTATCTAAGTTCAAACTGCAGTCTCGATTGTCACTCATGTATTACTCAATAGTCTATAACATTTATGATATTATACAATAGGTATTGTGTATTTGGTATTTCAAATTTACTGACTTTTATAATAATAGAATGACCTGTAAAAATTGGAGAAATTTAACTGTATACATTGACATATTTTCAATTTCTTTTGAGAGTCGGGGAGTTTCAAATATATTAGTTGTTACAAAAACTGCGAGCATTCTGTACACAACAAAATCGTGAGGACTGCAATCGCCCTGGCCGACTCGACGCTATCGCGTTTATCTCCGTAACGACGTGTTTAGGCCTCACAGCCGGTGTTTAGACCCACCCTATTCATTTATCAAACAGACCGCCACCGTTAACCACGTTTTCTTTAAACAACGGTGGCAGAGGATTGTAGTAAAACATCAATTTATTTATACAGATGTATACGCCTTTTGCTACTGTCGCATAACCCGACTAATGGTGTGTAGCAGTGTATCCGAATTCCGAAAGAGAGAGAGAGAGGAAGATACAAAGAGATAGGGAAAATAAAATATATCATATAAAACCAACCTCCGATTTTTGTTACGCAAAAGCCTTCGGATTTCAAATGTAGAAATTTTGGACAAAATCAAAAACAAATTGTAAGATTTAATTCATTGATATTTAAATATTTTGATATTACCTGAATAGTATTTACAGTTAGGTTTCTCAAAATTCAAATGCACCGAAACATTGTGAATTGAATTGATTATTATTGACGTATAGCCATATACTTAAATAGAATTTGCGAATGCGCTATGATAGTTATCTAAGTTTAAACGTTACTTTGTGTTATTATGTTGTATAACATATTAGGTACTGCTCATTTTTTTTAACAAAGAATTAAAAAAAAAATAGCAATAATATTCAAAGAAGAGGTAAGTGGTTTTATACTTGAAATTTATTTTTCATTTGAGAATAGCAAATCGTTTTTATTTATAAAAGAGCCATTTATCTGTTTTTATATTCTTATGAATATTCATAATATGTGTTTTATAAATATATAGATAAGTAAATTCCTAATGTTATATAGTTTGTTAAATTAAATGAATGACAATAATCATAATATTACTAGACCTGTCACTTGTCAGAAAGATCTGTAACTGTCTATGGTGAATTTTAATTAAATTAAATGTTTTTGATGTGAAACATTTATTGAGGCGGGTGACACCGTTTGTTGACGCGGTGACGTCGCCACGCTCGCAAAACGCAAACCTCGAATGCACCTTTAAAATAAAGAATAATTGTTCTTAAAAAACATGAATATTTTGGTTTCGATTATG